ATACACAAATATGATTAAGACGGTAGAAACAAGTATTATATTTATAGGAGCTTTACGACGAGAATGTTTGTATAAATTTTGTAAGCATATTATCAAGCTTTATTGGGATATGTATGTATGGAAACCTACACGCAATGACGTTGAACAATTGTATCCAACACATGAAGACGAGTATGGTTTCTTGGGGATGCTAAGGAGCGTTGATTGTAAGCATTGGATTTGGAAAAATTGTCCAAATACATATAATCTACACGACATACTTCATCTGTATCAACAATTTATACCCATAGTATTAGCCAATATATGATGAGACTTTTAGAAATACACAATCCGAAAACGCACATAAATCTTGGACAAGATTTAACGAAGCACACATACAACATTCGAAATGCCAACGACGTTGAATACGAAGAGCAATTTTCCGCTTTTTTATGTAATTTTTTATTTTTTATGTCTTCTATTATTTTTTAATTAATTAAATGGCTTTATTTTGATTTAATATTATTTGTTTTAAATAAATACTAGTATGGTTGAAATTATTTTGGCATGGATCAGTGTAGTTATTTCTTAAATCTTAAGGTAAGTGGTGATGAGATGGTGCTGACTTGCTAGAACTTTTGGGGTGGTAGAATGAAAAGTACATCCCATAGCCTTATATAGTGCCAGCTATTGGGATCATCAAGTTCCAAGATCTTGCAAACGAAGGTGCATATGACAAATGGATCTTCGGTTTGAATCTAATCTGATATGAAATTCAAATCCGGTCAAAACAAGATTTTGACCAAACCAGATCGAATTAGTCAGATCTACTCGATTATGATTGGATCCAAATCCTATGGATAAAATCAGTTTTAGATCCAAATCATATGGATAAAATCAATTTAATCATCGAATCCTAAGCAGGATTTTCAAAAATTCAGATCAAAATCCACCCAAAAATCCAGTCAGACACACCCCAAAATCGATCAAACTAGCTAAAATTCTTTTTACGACCGGACAAAAGTCAACATTAAAATCCACCAAAATCACATTGAAATTTGGCCAGATATGAATCTCATTTCGAGTGACGTAAGCCAATGATCCGAATCCAAATCCGAATAGGATTAGACTGGATTCTCCGTTTGTTTACCTATACTCGCAAATTCACCGAGCATTATTTACAAACCATGTAGTCATTTTTATTATTAAGAAGATGGTCACGATGTCCCATTTAATTATTCTATTTTTTACCATATAGAGCAAAATGAATTTAAGATGAACAAAATTTCCAAGATCTCACACTCGATATGTTAGGCTGCCCGAAGTGGAGAGAGCTCCACGTGTGACTTGCTTACATGGAGCCTCTCTCCACGCGTGAACACCGCCCCCGGCTTTGGTGGGTTGGTGGTGGCATGGCTACTAGGACGGAACAAGACGCGTAATTTGATTGGTTGGTTACTTTTTCGACCGTTTGGGCATTTAATAAAACAAATTTCTCTCTCTCTCTCTCTATATATATATATATATATATATATATATATATATATATATATATACATCCATTTTACACATATTTTTCAAAACCAAACCCATAAACTCTTTCAAATCAAACACACACATTCAACAAAAAAATGGATAACGATTTTGATGACGAGTTGGTATTGCACACACTATTGTCTGTGGCACAAGACATAGTTTGTGAAAGGCGAAAGTTCATACAACGAGAAGAAGCATAGAAAATGGATCAACTGGGATCGAGAGGCGACAAATGTATGTGATTATTTTGCCCCTGATAGTTTATATGATCTATCGAAATTTGAAGAATGTTTTCGTATTAGTAGAAATTTATTCTTACGTATAGCTAGAGATTTGGAACATAATTATGAGTTTTTCCAATTACGATGCGATGCTAGAGGTAAACGTGGTTTTACTGCAATACAAAAATGTACGGCCGCTCTTAAACAATTGGGACATGGCATAACCACAGACGCATCAGATGAGTATTTGAAAATGTCTGAGAGGACGGGTCGAGAATGTACATATCTTTTATGTGAGTATGTTATAGAGCTTTACCGTGACATATACTTGCGACATCCGACTAAAAGTGAAGTCGAACAATTGTATGTCGCGCATCAAGCTAAACATCGTTTTCCAGGGATGCTTAGTAGTATTGATTTTACACATTGGGAGTGGGCAAATTGTCCCAATGTGTGGCATGGTCAATTCACGTGAGGTGATCATGGGATCCCGACTGTTATATTAGAGGCGGTTGTTTCACATGACCTATGGTTTTGGCATGCATTCTTTGGTATGGCGGGGTCCACCAATGACCTGAATGTGCTTCAAGCGTCTCCGTTATTTAACAATATTTTGCAGGGTAAAGCACCAGACATGTCATACGTTGTGAATGGAAATGAATATACATGTGGGTATTACCTAGGTGATGGGATATATACAGAGTACGCTACAATTGTCAAGTCATATTCATTTCCAGCCAATGAAAAACGAAAATTGTTCAAGTTAGCACATGAAGCTGCACAGAAGGACGTGGAACGAGCGTTTGGAGTCCTAAAACAAAAGTGGCACATAATCAAACATCTGACACGAAAATGGGATTGGGCAAAACTAACGACGATGTTGACTGCTTGTGTTATTTTACATAACATGATAATAGTAGAAGAAGAGGGCAAATTTATTTGTTCATATACCGGGAACGATATACTTAATCCAGCTGCAGTAATACAAGTTGGCAGCCCGACATACTTCTCTAAGGTTTTGAAAATACAAAATCGTGGAACACATCACAATCTACGTCACGATTTGACCGAGCACATATGTGGAAGACAACTCCATGGGGGAAATGACGATGAATGCGAAGAGGATGAGGGCGATGTGACGAGGCGAATGTAGACGGTGACAACGAGGCGGATGAGGGCGATGAGGACGGTGACGACGACGAGTAGTATTTGTCTATGGTTTTTATTTTTTATGTTTTTATGTTTTTTAATTAAGTAATGTAATGTTTTACTTGTTATGTTTTATGTTTATTTTAGTAATTTAGGTTTTAAATTTCTATGTTTTTAATTAATGAAATGTG